CCAGTGAATATGCTGACACCCCCGCCATCCCTGTCAAAAACAATGCAAAGTGCTGGCGGGCCTCACGAACATGACCCAAGACTTTGCCCCAAAGTGTAGTTTGCATTGCGTGTTGACAGGGATGGTGGGGAGGGGCCGCATCGGGCGGGTTGGCCGCGCATGCTCCAAATGTGGAGGCAGAGCACGGTTTGTACTGTTTTTTGACAGGACGGTCGGGGGCGGGCCCGCATGGAGTCGGCATGGTTCCGGGTTGGCCGCCGGCCAGGTGGGGGAGGGGGTGTGTATTAATAAGGAACAGTGTAAAACCTTATCCCGACGGGGAAGACGGGAGGGTGGAAGAGTAAACACTCTAAACAACTCACGCCCGAAAGGACTGGTGGGATTTGATAGTCGGCTCAAGCAGATGGCCGTGGAAGGCAGAGGTGGAAGAAGACGGATCTGGAGAGGGGTGGGCAAACACGGCGCACGGTTTGTCGGCCTCTCAGCTCCGTCCCGCAGTTATTTCGGCCCAGGGCCAGGCCTGGCTGCAGCCAGACGGTATGCACGAGGCGTGCAGGGTCCAGACCTGGCCGCAGGAGGACGCGCACGCCCCCTCGCCCGATCGAGTCGTTCGGCAGGGTCCCGGGCGGCACGCTGCCGAGGACGGCCCTGGCCGCAGAGGCGCCCCCGTGCCAGGCTGGCCGCGCGAGCGCACGAAGATGACCGCGCGTCCCGCGGCGCGCGGCGCGCGGCGCGTGGAGCGTGAGGTGTCGAGTGATCGACTACAACATTGACGATCGAACAACACGCACCCATACATCTAGGGGGGACGGAGGAGGCTATGTGTGCGTGTTGTCGGATGGGGTCCCCGCTCGAACGGGAGTTTCCCCCATGGTCCGACAACTCGCACCCATACCCATAGCCAGCTCCCCTCCTTTCGACCCTCCTATGGGTATGGGTGTGAGTTGTTCGCTCGTCAAAAAATGATTAGCGCCTGCATTGATTAGTTTCGTCGCATATTCGCTCCCCCGGGGGCCTTCTTTCTCGCACGCGCGACGCCGTGATCCGCACGTGTGCCCCCCCCCCCCCCACACTCGCGTGGTCGGGGCCGGCGCCCTCGCGCCACGGCAGCCGGCCCCGTGGGCACCTCGCGCGCCATGCAGGGTGCATTGCGTGGCGTGGCGTCTTCGGGGTGCCTCGCCTGCGTCTCTTCCAGGGCCGAATGCGGGCTCCATGCGGACTCTGCCCGGATCTGGCGCGTTTTCGGCGCGGATGCGGCACGGAATCGACGAGGCCGACGTGGATTCGGCACGGATTCGACGCGGCCAGGGCCGCGTCCGGTCAGGTGGAAGGTGGAGGGGTCGGGGCCCCAGCCCGCGGGAGGCAGGTCAGTGGCATGGGGTCAGATCGGGGTGCTCCTTGTCGCCGATGCGTGGCGCGGCTCGGAAGGCAGGTCAGGAGGGCGGATGCTCGGTTCACTGCGGCCGGACTGTGAACGAGCGGGGGAGCGGGGGCATCTGAGGGAGTGACGTGCGGATGCGTCTTGAAATTCGGCGTCTACGTGAAGTTGGTCATTGCCGATGTCGTTCGAGTGAAGCTCGGAATTGTACCCCATATGAAGACCAGACGGAAGCACGCATGACAACGGAATCGTGAGTGAATAGTTGAGAAGGCCGCAGTGTTCTATGGTCCATTTGTTCGTGCCCGCGCACCATCGACATGCATGCAGGAATGTTCTACCTGGCACGGCCGTAAGGCTGCATGGTTACAGCGTTTCCTCTTGGGGGCTTCGCGTCTGTTAGGCCTTCTGGGAGCGTCTCAGAGGGCTCTCGTGCGCTTCCAGAGACCCTCGTTGGGGCGTGTTGTTCGATGATCCTGACGTTCCTCAGGACCGTATGTTAGCCGAATATGTGTTCCACCGCTCGGCCTGTGTCGGCAATCGCCGCGTCGCCTGCGTGGTGTCGAAGGGCTTCGATGGACCAACACACGTTGGCGCTGACGCACGTTCTGATGATCATCGAGTTGGGGCGCCTTGGATGCGATGGTTCGACCGGGCTCTGCATCTCGGAGCCCTCTTGTCAGGTCTTGTGCTCTTGGTGTGGCCTTGGTCATCTCGGAGGCGCCTTGAGGCTCTTTGGGGTTATCTTGGGGCTCTCTGAAGTCTTATCTTGGCATCGCTCGGACGTGTGTATTTTTTCTCGGGGACCATCAAGGAGCATCCTGGATACATCGAGCAAAATCAACGCGCACGAACTTGAAGCATGCACGGGGACTGGACGTACGAGCAATGGCAAGCTGTTGAAGCGATCGCTTTTCGAAAGCCTGGGATGCACGCACTGCTGAGACCGCTGTTGGTGTCTCAATGTTTGTCTGCCTTCGCGGGCCCTGCTGCAGGGCTCCCCCGAGACGTCCCCGAGAAGTGCGTCTATACCCTACCGAATCGAGGGTGCCCTCGTGCCCTGTGGCTTGCGGCCCCGTGCCGCCTGCATTCCCGTGGCGACGTGGCCCTCGCACGGGTCTCGCGCACCCTCGCGCGTCCCGTCCAGTCAAGCCCAGCTGCCGGTGCCCCTTCGCGGCTTTTTGTCGGTGGCCTTTCAGGGCGTCTGAGGGTACACGCCGGTCGTTAGAAGTAGGTATTCTTGGATTCCCAGATCCCAGTCTACTTCTAGCGCCTTCCTATTTCAAGAATCGGCATGGTCTTGATGCGTGTTTTTATTATCTGGGAGGGCCTGGAGCCAATCTACTTTGTCCGCCTTCATACTTCATGTTTTTACCTACTTCTTCCGACCGACGAGTAACCCTGTGGCCTCTCGGCCTCCGGGGGAGGGTTGCAAATGTTAAGTCGCAAACAGATCGTCTGTGGAGGATGGGCCACGTATACTTGACAATGTTTAAATATTTTTGGTTAGCTTGAGCTTTTCTTCCAAAATCCGCCTGTAGGAGGGCATGCCCGACCTCATGAAGAGGCCTAGTCGCCGTGTCCGCCGGCCCTGAGAGCTGAGCAGCATGGGCGTAAGAGGCGCAATGGGGACGGGAGCACGGTACAGTGGCTGCGGTACTGCGAGGGCGAAGATCTCGTGGTCTTCGGCCCACTGGAACACTGCGTCTGGGTCGTGATCCGGAGGCCTTGGGGGCATATTTTTGGGACATCTTCAGGGCTTTGGGGGACTCCTGGGGACCTTTGTGGCCCATTTGGATTCGCATTTGGTCCCAATGTTCGGCGGCGAGCCCGTGGGGAGGTGAGAAGGGGCGGGCCTTCTCAGAAGGCTTGGAAGTCCCCCATCCGTCTGAGAAGGTTTCTGAGCCTTCCCCGAAGACACCGAAAACTTCTCAGAAGGCCGGAGGCCTTTTGAGGAGTCCCGCCGCCTTCTGAGAAGGCCTCCTCCTTCTCACTTCCCCCCTCGCTCGCCGCCGACAGGGTGATTGGCACGAGGACTGGCAGCATGCGGCTATCCAACAGGGGGGGGGGCCTTTGAGCAGTCCCGTCGCCTTCTGAGAAGGCCTTCTCCTTCTCATTCCCCTCCTTACTCGCCGCCAGCTTGTGACCTTCTGTGGGGATCTTATCTTGTGATCGTGCTGGAGGGGTTGGCTTCCAGCGGTGCGAGAGCGGCATGCTTTTGCTCCCCTCGTTGGCCGTATTAGGATCCGCTTGGGGGCCATTTGCGCCATACAGTGCAGTGGAGACCCATGCCAAGAAACACCCAGCTCGCCTCCATGGTGAGCTGGGTTTCTTTGGTTTCGATGGTTTTGCTATGGAGAGCGTGACGTTCCCTCACCAAAAATCAATAGACTTCCTGGGGTCTCAGGGTTTGGTTTCTTGTCGAAGGTTCCATGTGGACTGGCCTCCATTGTAAGGCCTTCTCAGAAGGCGGCGGCCTTCCGAGAAGTGTTCTGTGCTTTCGGGGGAGGCTCCGAAGACTTCTCAGCAGGCCAGGGGCCTCCCAAGCCTTTGAAACGGCCCGCCCCCTCTCGCTTCCCCCCCGGGGTCGCCGCCGACCCTCATCCTCCGCCTTGTCCCCATGAAGAGCGGGCCCCAGATCTGACGAGGATTTCGAAGCGAACCCACCCGCGTCGAGCAAAGACTTCCCCAGGGAAGGCTGGGAACATGCCGCATGGATCAGAAGCCCTGCCCCTCCTCCTCCTCCTCCTCCTCCTTCTTCTTCTTCCTACAGCCCTAGGAGACGAACGTCTGAGGTGTCCACACGTGCACAAGAGCCGCAGCCAAATCTCGCCCGCAGGAACTGGTAACAATGCACTCGCCCGAAGGATCGAGTAGCACATGAAACAAGAGACCTAGACGGGAAGCGCAACCCCAACAGACGTGGGGGCGCAGAGCAGCCTTGACGGGAAGCGCAACCCGTCGAACGTGGGGCGCAAGGAATGACGCATGAGGGCATAAGAATGGATACACCTGGCACACCAAGAAATCAGCTAAGCGCCACTCACTGGTAGGCGATCTCAGGGCTCCTGGCGGCCATGTGGCAGTACATCTCGTCGAAGGCTGTCTTGTCCGTGAATAAAGGCAGGAAGAAAGCGGCCACCCCAGGCTGCCCTTCTTGAGCAGCAAGGTCGTACAATATCTGGAACACCATGTCGTTAGCAACTGGGTCCACATGTTGGCACTCGAAGGCGGCCGTTTGGAACGCCATGCCGAGAGACTTCTTCGTATGGGAGCCGATAGGCTCAAGACAAGATGCCTTGACACGAATGGCTTCGGCACTAGTCTTGAAGGCCCAGCGGTCAGCAGCGTCGTCGTAGAAGCTCAGGGTGCCTTCGCGACCATTTAGCAGTGGCCTAGCCTTGAGGCCGACAAGGCGCGCGGCCATGCCTGGAACGAATGTGTGCTTCTCGCCGTGCTGCTGAGGAACAATGGCCTTTCCGTGCCGCTGGGGCCTCACCACATCAATATCAGTCTCCGCCTTGGCACAGGGTTCGCTCTCCATCGCCACAGAGCCCGAACCAGTCGCGCCACCTTCAACAGGAAGCTGCTCGCTGGACGACTCCCCTTTCTCGTGCGCCAGGACTGGCCCGATGGACTCGGCGTGCGTCTGGCGCTCGGAGCCCTCCACCACCGCAGTTCGCATGGCCGGCGGCGTACCAGAGAAGCCCTCGAAGAGAACCGGAGGGGCTTCACGACAAAACGGATGTGGGACTCGCCTTTGGAGTTCTTGTGCCCGTGGTCCACAATGATAGCGTTGTCGATGTCCAAGTGCACCATGTGGAGCAAACTTATCATGAGGCTGTTCCGCATAGTCGGCTCCCAGACGGGGAACAGGCAGATCTGCATGATCAGCTTGTCGCTGTGGCTGCACAGTTTGACAAC